GCTGGAGAGGTTCACTGTGACAAGGACTGAACTCCTGTCTGTAATACTCGGACTCCCAGAATTCTGAAACTACTAGAACTCCCAGAGGCTCCGTTCAAACCATATGAATTCTGAGAAATCCCCCCGAAAATATTTGTTTTTTCCCCTGTATTATTAAATGTACAAGGTAAACTTACCCTTTTGACGGCTCCCATTCAAATTAATCGAATTCTACAGTTTTCTTTTGTACTAAGTAATTCGGCTTTAAATATTAATAATGCATCAGTTTTATATAGTGCTTTTATGGACACTCAAAGACGCCTCACATGTGCCACAGCTGCCCTGGGGCACACTGACAGAAGCTAAGCAACCAGTATGTGCCATCGGCCCCTTTGACCACCTCCAGCCATTCCCACACACACCAGACTTATTCAAAGCAATGTTGGTAATGTGTTATGCCTAAGGACACAACAACAGTTAGACACTTTACAGCCGCAGCCGCCCCACTGTGGCACCTGGTGTTCCCCAGAGGTCTCCCATCACCAAGCCTTGTCCTGCTTAGCCTCAGAGGTCTGACAGGATCTGGCTTTCACATGTGGGTCTCTTAATATGTGATAAAACTGATTAATATAAATTAAATATAGCAGGACTAAAAGCTATCCGCTGCTAGTAGATAGTGTGTTGCTATGGTAACTAGCACTTGCTCCAGTGCTTAATTTCATAAACTTTAAAAACATAGAAACAAACTACATTTAGATACAGGAAAAGTTATGAAGGCCAAAAACGTAAATACACGTTACTAAAACTGTTAAATATAACTTGAAATACAGCAAAGGCTAAATGCTAAATGCTGAAAATAAACACTGTGTTTCTATGGTAACTAGCGCTGGTGCTTCTCTATGGTAGAACTTCTCACATTTCTAAACTGAAAGATAATTTAATCAAAAATAATGACATAATCACAGTAACTATAAAGAAAAAGTCACGAAGCTATGGTACACTTCCAAAACTAAAAATAAATGTTATGGCTTATTTTTGGTGACATGATAATGAAACTTAAAGATAAAGTCAGTGATTTTTTCCAGACGCATTTTTTTAAATATTGTGGGAAAACGTCCCTAAACCCTAAAAGTAGTCATGTTATCATGTGTTTTCAAATAGTATTGGAATTGACAAGATGCCTGTAGTCTCGAAAAATTAATAAAAAATATTTCAGAGTGGACCGATAAAAATAAACCAATGGGATTCGTTCATCCCCAACGAACCAAAGGGATACGTTTACCCCCTTCCTGTTTCACGCGAGTGTGCGTGTTTCTAAAACCTAAAAGGACTGAATAGAAAATGCCAATTTCATGTTTGCCACCCACACTCAAGAAAATGCTTCTGATGCTTTGTGCTGAGAGCTGATTGGCTGAGTGAAGGTGGTCGTCTAAACATGAAAATAATAAAGTTATAGAGGCTTTGATTATGTGTTTGTGAAAACTAGTTTTAGAACCAAACTGACAGCAAAGAACTAGTAGCCTGAATGTTCTTCTTACAAACTGTAGCTCGATTTATTTTGTTTTTAGTTTAGGTATCCCAGCTTTGATGTTTTCTTCAGCTGCAAAAACAATCTGAAAATCTTTCGTCAGTATTTACAGAAGTCCTCTGATGACAACGACCTCCCACCTCTCTCACATTGAAGACACACAGCACTGAAGCCTTTAGATGTGAGGATTTCACACTGGATTTTGAAACGCACTGCAAAAAAGTATAAAATATGAGGTGATAAATGCATGACTCAAGTGTTTTTTATCTTAATTTGAGTACATTCTGATTTGCAAATGGGAGCCATTTAGTCTTATTTAGTATTTTTTAAAGATAAAACTACTCACAATTTTCGGCTAACAAGTAATTTCATAATAGACTAAGTGTAGGAACTGTCAATTAAATTATCTTCTTGATTATTTTGACCTGGTTTGATTTTATGATATTTGTTCTCTAGTTTGATTTTGCTTCCTGCCTGTTGATTGTTTGCCCTGATGCCCCTGATGTGTTCCATCTGTCTCTGCCTGTGTGTGTATTTATTCCCTGTGCTTTTCCCCACTTGTTGTCCTTCCATTGTCTATACCACATTTGTTCCCGGGTTGTTTTCAGTTCTGGAGTTTTGTATTTTGACGTTAACTTGGATTTATTTGATTAAAATACACTTTATTTTACCACATGACAGAAACACAGAAAGTCACAGTTGCAAAAGTTTTGAAGACAGCAAATCTACACAAGCTGAGTAATAACATATGCAAAACGACAAGCCATTAATTGACTGCTCTATGCGTTCTGGTGCTGAGTCAGTCAAAATGTGCTCAAATTAAGATACATTTTACCAAATTTGACCCATAATAACTTATTTTTCATCACTATTAGCAGTGTGGAACTCAATTTTGCTTTCTGATTTGAACACAATTTACATCGAAACTGCCTTTTGGCTCAACGCACAAACAATATTTTTCTCACCCATGGCTGCTCTGAAAACCGCTCGTGGACTCAACAGATCCGCATTTCACTTATTTCCGCCAGATCAGTCGTACAACGGCGCTAGATTGAGAGCAAAAGTGGAAAAGTGCTTGTACGCCCGAGGCTGAACAAGCTGCCAGTGTTTGGGTTTGTGAAAGTCAGAAAATGGAAAGGAAAAGGGAGATATATGATCCTTTTCATACCTAAAGGTTAAACATAATCAAATATAACATGATGGAGCTCTCTGATGTTTCCATTGATTCCCACACATTGATTGAAGGAGGGCTGAGGCTTATTCATATCAATGTGTTTTTAATTAGTTTTGTGATTTTATTTTGAATGTAATTGAATGTTTAATATTTCTGAAGGTCTAGTTGTTTGTTCTTAATGTTCTGTGGGAGATTAATCATATTCTATAATATTCATGTTGATTTAATGTTTGTGACTTATGCCTGATGTGATATTGCTTGGTCTCGTGGGTTCGACCTTCTCCAACTACTCCCACTGATGTCTGCTGTTGTTGTGTTTTTGGGCAAGACACTTAACCCCACTTTGCCCAAAGCATGCACTGAAACACTAATGCTGTGTCTTTAATGACGGAGCAGCCTCTATCTCACTGTGGACCATAGACTGTATATCTTAACGGACAGAATCACGCCTATCTCCGCCGTTCAAACTAATGGGCCAAAAAATGTGCTCTACTGGAGCAATCCAAAATGGCCGCGAGTGGTCCCGCCCACAAGAAAATTGTGAAAAAATGCATCTGCGCATGCGTCAGCTGGCAGCAAGTAAACTAGAGTGGTCCAAAGAAATTCACCCCCCTCAGCATTGACACACGTGTGGAAGGGGCCCTTCGGCCAAGAGCCAGCTTTTGGACCGACCTGTAAAGACGTTTTCGAGAGGTCTGCCAAAGCTATATGTTAGCATTGGCTAATTCTACTTCTGGGTCCACCCCCATCGGCCCGGGGTGGTATTGCAAGCATGTCAGCGCCCCCACTGCTGTGGACCCACCACCTGCCGGAGCATCATGAGCTGGTGCAAAGAGCATTGGGTGGTAGCTCTCATTTCTTCACAAGCCTTAATGTATATGGCAGGGGGTCACCAACAAGGGCTACCAGCTTAAAACATATATATATATGAATGAACAATGTTTATATACAGTGGGGCAAAAAAGTATTTAGTCAGCCACCAATTGTGCAAGTTCTCCCACTTAAAATAATGACAGTGGTCTGTAATTTTCATCATAGGTACACTTCAACTGTGAGAGACAGAATGTGAAAAAAATATCCAGGAATTCACATTGTAGGATTTTTAAAGAATTTATTTGTAAATTATGGTGGAAAATAAGTATTTCGTCAATAACAGAAATTCAACTCAATGGAAGGAGGTTTTGGCTCAAAATCTCACGATACATGGCCCCATTCATTCTTTCCTCAACACGGATCAGTCGTCCAGTCCCCTTATCAGAAAAACAGCCCCAAAGCATGACGTTTCCACCCCCATGCTTCACAGTAGGTATGGTGTTCTTGGGATGCCACTCAGTATTCTTCTTCCTCCAAACACGACGAGTTGAGTTTATACCAAACAGTTCTACTTTGGTTTCATCTGACCACATGACATTCTCCCAATCCTCTGCTGTATCATCCATGTGCTCTCTTGCAAACTTCAGACGGGCCTGGACATGCACTGGCTTCAGCAGGGGGACACGTCTGGCACTGCAGGATTTGATTCCCTGTCGTCGTAGTGTGTTACTGATGATAACCTTTGTTACTTTGGTCCCAACTCTCTGCAGGTCATTCACGAGGTCCCCCCGTGTGGTTCTGGGATTGTTGATCACCATTCTCATGATCATTTTGACCCCACGGGATGAGATTTTGCGTGGAGCCCCAGATCGAGGGAGATTATCAGTGGTTGAAATATCGTTTTAGGCTACATTTGGGCTATCTCTTATACAGATAACGAGTTCAAAAAGGTGCCATTAATACAGGTAAGGACTAAAGAAGTTACAGGTCTGTGAGAGCCAGAGATCTTCCTTGTTTGAAGTGACCAAATACTTATTTTCCACCATATTATTTAAAAATCCTACAATGTGAATTCCTGTTTTTTTTCACATTCTGTCTCTCACAGTTGAAGTGTACCTATGATGAAAATTACAGACCTCTGTCATTATTTTAAGTGGGAGAACTTGCACAATCGGTGGCTGACTAAATACTTTTTTGCCCCACAGTATATATATATTCATTGTGTTTGACATTGTTATAGTGACATTTACTTTGAGCAAATAATTTTTTTCAACAAAAAAACATTTTCTTTCTCCAAAGCACGACATTGATATAAAGTAGATTGCAATTTGATCATTTGACCAGGTAACATTGTGTTTTCCAAAAACACTTAAGAAAATGTTAATGAGAAATTGTTCAAGCAAATGGTCAACGTTGTCCATTCATGCTCTACATTCCTTATCTCACCCAAAAATGCAAAGAAATCTTTCAAAATCCTCCATCTGCTGACCCATCAGATTTCTAAAAATGCAGCAACAAGCCTCCTCAGTCAACAAGGCGACTGAGAAGGAGGCAACAGGTGACCAGGTGCCTGCAAGCATAGGGTTGGTAACCCCTGGTTTAAATCAGGTATTCACACACAAGCAGAGAAAGTAGGAAACAGAGGATGTGGAATCCTGGGAAAACAAACAAGCATTCACAAATAAACACATAACACCCATAAAGTATTTTGTATTTTATCTTCATGATACCAGTGCAACTGTGAGGGCAAGAAACCAACTGAGAACATGGTGAGTTAATGAAGTGCATGGGTCTTCATCTCTGCTTGTGGATTTAATGTTGATGTGTTGACTTGATCATAGAAAGGCTACTCAGCTCCACAAGACCACTAAAGCCGCCTGTTCTGAGGACCGCCTCCAATCACAGGTGAGCTGCACTAACTCCACACAACAGGAAGCAGAACTCACAAACACACGATCTGATCCTGGATTTGTTTTTCTTTTAAACATGTCATTATATGATTTTAACACAAAACTCACATTCAGTGTAATTCATACTGTTTCTATGGTTTCTGTCCCTTCAATGACCTTGTCATGTATCTGATCAGAATGTTCTAATAGAATTCTGTCTCCATGGCGACACATTCTATGGAACCCTGTCCGAGTTGGTTTTGCTGCAGCAGAGACAAATCCCAGTCATTCGACAGTATCTTCGGTGGTGAAGACATGCATATTTTGGACTCGTGAGAAACCACAGTTTCACAATGTTGTGTTGTTTGAGAATTTCTCAGGTGAGTCAGTGCAGTTCAGATTTATATATAATTCATATTTACATGAAACACAGAGTTTTCCACTTGTGTCCACAGACGTTTGGATATAGTTGAGACACAGTTTTATCCAAAAATAAGGCGGTGTTCAGTCGAGATGGTCTGCCCGTCAAACGGGTCTCGCGCATACGTGATTTTACCGGTATAATAGGGATGCATGCTTGCTGTGGCTAGGGCTAACTCGATAGCCGCTAGCTTACAGCCGGTCATGGGGTTGAAAACAATTATTTTTTTAATAGATTGAAATGGGATATCAAATGTATCCAAGCCGAATAATAAGATTATACCTACTATATTCATAGTGGATATTGGGGCTTTGTGAAGAATCTCTTATGGTTTGTTTAATATGCATCATTAAACACCATTGATATGCGTCCCTGTTGAGATATCCCTGTATCGTGTAACACGTCTTCTTGTATATAAATAAACAGTGAATTGATTGTATTCATGTATCTTTGTTGTTCATGAAGTTCTTATTTGATCTTTTTTGTATTTCATCAGAAATCCTCAGCCAAGGATTACCAGAGGGAGAGCGCCCCCAGTGAGGCACAGAGGTACTACACATGTAAAAGCTGCCTATCATGGATCTATAATAATAACTGGATAGGGTATTACTATCTTATAGCTGTCCCAGCCATGGGCACAGGGGGCGCCCGTGGTACTGCAGACTAAACTCATGCGTGCTATCCAGATAAAAGTCCCATAGAACTAAATGTAAATTAAAACAGCTCGACCACAGCTTTCATAAAGATCGGATTTTGAGGGGATTTTAGTGTCCCTTGAACTTTTTTTCTTCTTAAATCCTTCGGTTTTCACTTTACTGCCACAAACTCTGCTCCTTTCCTTCCCACTCTGACTCCGCTCTGCTGCCGCTCTGATCAGCAGCGCTGATTGGTCAAAACCATAAGACATTGGTCAAACCATAAAATAATAATGGACATAGAATAGAACGGAGGAGATAGGCGTGACTAACTAATGGGCCAAAAATTGGGCTCTCATTGAGTGATTCAAAATGGCCGCGGGGGGGATGGTAAATGTGAAAAAACCAAGCCCCGGCGATGCAAGATGGCGCCCTATTCAAATGAATGGCCGGTGCTCAGTAGCGCATAGGACTTCATGGAGACCGGGAGATTAGCTGAACTCGCCTATATTTGGGCATCGTCTGGTCCTCCCGGTTCTGCGCAGTGGATTAGGGCAACACATTATGGGAGATATCTCCCATAATGCAGAACCGGGAGGACTAGACGATGCCCAAATATAGGCGAGTTCATCTAATCTCCCGGTCTCCATGAAGTCCCATGGGAGATATCTCCCATAATGCGTTGCGCCAAACGTGCGTGTGTGGCTTTCATGCACGCGCACAGAGGGGCTCAGCTGCGTTCTGACCAATCAGAGCTGATCATCACCAATTCAGGATGACAAGGGACACTAAAATCCCCACAAAATCCGATCTGTATGAAATGAATAGTTACCTAATATAACTTAAGTTCTACGAATAGGTGCGTAGTTCCTTAGGACTTCTCTAGTGGGGTATCACGTGACCCCCAGGTCACACGCCAGAGAGATCAAATATATAAAAATATGCTCCAATCACTAGCGACCCTCCTCTATAAAAGCCCCTGCAAAAGGCCGCGCCCCCTCTTGAACTCTGCCAAGCCGGGCTGGCCTGATGGGCTCGTAGCTAAGGGACTACGCACCTATTCGTAGAACCTAAGTTACATTAGGTAACTATTAATTCTACGTCATGGTGCTACGTCCCTTAGGACTTCGCTAGTGGGACACAACACGGAGGCCGTAGGAACATGTACTCCCAGCAGGCCAGCAAAGAGTGATTGGAGTCCCGCCCGAGCAAGACCCTCACACAGTGAGAGGACTCAGGGCAGAAGAATAATCAATTGCGTGTTACAGGGCCTCTCCTCCCAACGACACCCCCAAGTAACACAGACCGAAGGCCACCCGTAGTCCCAGGACGCCTCTCCCAAGAGCTTCTGACGTGGACTACCTAACTGACCAAAAGCACACACATACCGCACCTGCAGGACACCTCTCCCAAGAGCTCCTGAACCAGGGCGGACAAGTCAACCGTAGACCCCCTCGGAAGAGGAACCTCACGGTTTCAACTCAATCCGCTGCACTAAGCACAGAATGGGCCACCGACCGGTCCGACACAAGCAAAGGTAAGACCGGACGAAAGAGGAGGACGAAGCCTAAGAAGCCGCACGGCACACGTCCTCGACCGAAGCCCCCCCTGAGGAGTGCGACCTGAAACCCACCGGGGGGGGCCAGGCCCTGAGCCTGATACGCCCGCCGCACAGCCGTGGCGACCCAGTGCGCCAGCCGCTGAGACGACAGCGGGGCGCCCCTGTTCTTGGGCCCAGACACACAAACAGCTGATCAACCAACCTGAAGGAAGATGTCATGGCCAGGTAACGCCTAAGCATTCTGACAGGACACAGAAGGTGCCGCCACTCCTCCTCTGGGGAGGCATGCGGCGGCGGATGGAAAGCCCTAATCCTGATCACTCTCGACCTGAAGGCCGAAGTGATGACCTTAGGGAGAAAAGCCGGATTGGGCCACAACTCCACCAGTCCGTCACCCTCTCCAAGGACAGGCAAGACACATGGACGAAAAGCGCACAAAAGTCGCCCGCCCTCTTAGCAGACGCTAACGCCAGCAAGAGGGCAGCCTTAAAAAACACACACTCGGGACTCGCCTCCGACACCGGTTCAAAAGGCGGGCCCGAAAGACCCCTAAGGACCACCCTGAGGACCGAAACCGGGGGCGTTCTCTGAAGCGGGGGCCTCCTCCTGCGGGCGGAGAACGGATGAGAACGGGCCGTGAGCCCCCCCGAAACCGCCCTGACCCCGGCTCGTCCGGGAGGGCCCAAGGCTCCATCACCGCCATGCCCCTCAGGAAAGGGAACCACCGGGCATGTGGACTGTCCGGAGCCACCAGGACCCCCGACCTTCCCTCCTGTTCGATCTCCCGTAGTAGGACCGGCAGGAGACGAACTAGTGGAAACGCATACAGCAGGCCCCCTGGCCAGGGGTAGTGAGCCAGGGCGTCCACCCCTAAGGGCGGTTTGTCCGCGGCCCTTAAGGCGAATCAGGACGGGCACTGTGCGTTCTCTGCACTGGCGAAAAAGGTCGACCACTGGGCGGCCGAATCTCCGCCAGACCTCTGCAGCTATCAGCGGGGCCAGGCCCACTCGTCCTGGAGTGGGCCCCCCCCTGGACATCCTGTCGGCACCCACGTTCCGGGCACCCGAGACGTGGCGCGCGCCCCCAGGAACAGGAGGTGAAGCGCCGCCCACAGCAGCGTCACCGTCGCCATGCGATGGAGAGCGGGGGATCTGGTGCCTCACTGTCTGTTCAGATAAGACACCACAGTGGTGTTGTCTGAGCGAACCATCACGTGTCTCCCCTGCAGCTGAGGAGCAAAGTGCAGCAGCACCCTGTGTACTGCCTTCATCTCCAGAAGGTTGATGTGGCGGGCTGAGTCCGACCAGCAGCCTCCTACGGAGCTCTGACCGAGGACCCCGCCCCAACCCTCGAGTGACACGTCCGCAAACACCTCCACGGCGCAGACCAGAGTCACTCCGTCCCGCAATAGACCCGGAGTGAGCCAGAACGCTGCAGTTTGGGGAACCCAGATCAGCCTCCCCCCGTCCCAGGAGGGGTGAAGCCTGAGGCGTGAAAACCATCTCATGTGGAGGAGGCCTAGCCGCACCACAGCATGAGCCGCCGCCATCATCCCCAGCAGGGACCTGAGGCGCCGAGCGGGGACCCTGGGGTCCGCTAGCACCTCCCTGGCTAGACGAGTAATGTTACTCCGTCTGTCCTCGGACAATGCAGCACGGAACGTCACAGAGTCTAACTGCAGGCCGAGATAGATCATGCGCTGAGCCGGTTGCAGCCTGCTCTTCTCCCTGTTCACCACAAAGCCCAGACGCTGTATGTGGGAAAGGATCCAGTGCGTGTGAATCACGGCCACTTCCCTGGACGAGGCCAGTATTAACCAATCGTCTATATAGGTTAATATTCTTACCCCCGCGCGTCTGAGCGGCTCCAGTGCCGCCTCCACACACTTTGAGAAAGTCCAAGGCGCAAGCGCGTAACCGAAGGGGAGACGGCAGTACTCGTAACTCCTCTCTCCCACTGCGAAGCGCAGGAACTTCCTGTGTTCCGGAACTATCGCCACATGAAAATAAACGTCTGTCAGGACTATGGAGGACATCCAATCTCCCTGCCTGACACACTCCAGTAGCTGTTTTGTGGACAGCATCCGAAACTGACGCTTGGAAATGCACTCGTTCAAAGTGCGCAGATCCAGAATGGGACGCACCCCTCCTGACTTCTTTGGCACTAAGAAGTAAGGGGAGTAGAGCCCCCTGGCGTCCTGTGGGTCTACCTCTACTGCTGAGCCTCGACTTAGCAGAGAGGAGACCTCCACTTGCAGTGCCACTAATGATCCCCGTACCTGAGAGCGTGCTGCCCGCACGCCCCGGAATGGCGGTGGCTTTCGGGAGAATTGCAATGCGTAGCCCCTGCGCATGGTCTTCTCTAGCCACGGATCCGACAGTAAGCCCTGCTCCCTCCAGATGCTGTAGAAGTCTGTGAGGGGCGGAACGGGAACTGGAACACGAGACGTCACAGCCCCGCCTTCTCCTGGTGTTCCTAGTAGGGAGGGGGGGTGAACGAAAGGACAGAGGGGCCCCCTGCGTCATTCCGTGTGCGCCGGGGGCGGTCACGTGTCCTGCAGGCCCGACGTCATAAGTCCGGGCCTGCTCATGCCATGTGACTCGACTGCTCCGCCCCCCCCTGGCTCTTGCCTCATGGAGGGGGGGCGAGCCCCTGGAGTGGGAAACCCCGTGCTTAGCCTCGTAGCTTAGAGGAGCTAACGCACGTTCGGCCGAAGCACACACAACACTACTCACCAGATCCCTCCGCTTGACCCCTCTCTAGGGGTCCACTGATCGCATAGCATGGATCAGTGGACCGGAGCTCGTAGCACACTGCACACCCTGCTCAGGGGGCTGCAGGCCTAGCGGGGCAACGTTATGGGCTCGGGAAGTAACAGAAGCACATGACACATTACACATGTTACGTACCCCCAAATGAGACTCAGACAACGAGTACTGATGAAATGCCGGACGGCCTTTATTAGCAAAACTTATGCCACCCCGGCCTCCTCTACTGTAGGGAGGCCAGCGGTGGGTGCGCTTCTCCCTCGGGCCTCCCGGGGGTCTCGTCGAAGGGGGACGATGGATGGTGGAGCGTGGGTAGGGAGCGGAGCGCCTCCTGGGCGAGCACTCTCTGCCTCTGTCCAGGCTCCGTGCAGCTTGGTGGGCCTCGCGCCTCGGAGCTAGGTGTGTTGCTAGCCTAGCCGAGTCCTTGGCCGCAGACTCCAGTCTGTCCACCAGGGCCTGCATGTCAGGGCCGAAGAGGGACGTCTGGGACACAGGCAGGTCCAACAGTTGCCTCTTCTCTGCCTCCCTGATGTCTGCTAGCCCAAGCCAGAGGTGCCTGGCCCCGACTTGGGCTGCAGCCATGGTGCGGCCACCCTCCACGGCAAAGGCCTGGCTCATGCGCAGGAGAGCCGCGGAGGTGGTCCTTGTCTCTGTCAGGAGGTCTCCGCTGAGCGCCTGGCCAGCGGAGAGCGACCTATCCAGGGCCCCCGTGATAAAGGCCATGTTGTTAGCCAGGACGACGACCTGAGCCGCGTTGGCATAACACCTGCCCAGCATAGCCAAAGACATCCTGTCCCGCTCGGAGGGAAGGAGAGGTCTGGCGCCGGGCCACACGGATGCGGAGGGCAGCAGAGCCAAGCGGACTGAGTCCTCGATGTCCGGGACACCACCGGCCCAGGACCAGTCCTGCATGCTGCAGTACATGCCGTACCCCAGAGCAGGCCTCTTGGCTGCTAGGGGCTTTGGCCACTCACGTGTCGCGTAATGGAGGATCGGGTCCATCCGCGAGCACAACGTGGGTTGCTTCCTCCTCCTCCCTCGAGTGGTGCGGTCCACCGCCTGGTCCGGCTGCGGTGGTAGAGGAGCGTTCATCATGGCCGCCGCGGAGGAGTAGAGACTGGGCATGTGATCCACAGGGAACCGGTCCGGCTCCGGGTCTCGCTGGAGTTCTCCAGGCGCTGGAGCACCGGAGAATGCACGCCTGCGCCCACTCTCCTCTCAGGGGAGAGCGAGACACAAGGCGCAGCTAGCGCTCTCCGCCGCATGGCCCGAGCCCAGGCACAAGAACAGCGTGAAGCGTTCTTACCACTCCGCCGGTAAGAACATCCTCTTTTGATTCTGTTCAACATGCTTTTTGTTCTGTTCATCCCAATTTACTTTAGTTCTCCAGGCGCTGGAGCACCGGAGAACGCACGCCTGCGCCCACTCTCCTCTTAGGGGAGAGCGAGACACAAGGCGCAGCTGGCGCAGCTAGCGCTCTCCGCCGCATGGCCCGAGCCCAGGCACAAGAACAGCGTGAAGCGTTCTTACCACTCCGCCGGTAAGAACATCCTCTTTTGATTCTGTTCAACATGCTTTTGTTCTGTTCATCCCAATTTACTTTGACTTCAACATTTCAGTGGGGCAACGGCGACACACAGTTTGGCTTGGCTTACAAGGAGCTTCAAGGTAAGTACAACATATGGTTTGATGTTATCATTGGTAATATTTCAATATAATATCTCTTATCGTCTTTAACTTGTATAGATCCATCAGAGGAAGCATAGAGTGACTCCTTCTACCGGTGGAACAGCCGGCCACACAAGCACTAAGGTAATCCCTTCTTCAGTTCATCATCTGAGAGCAAGTGTGGTTCTCTGGTGAAAGTCCTAAAGTTTATGTTTGTGTGGCCTTTTCCAGCTCCAGAGCCCCGACACCATCCAGCCCTCGTTCCCCCGTCTCCCTCACATTAATAGAGGAGGCCCCAGATGAGGATGGTCTTACCGACTTGAACAGGACCCTATCAGAGTCTCTCCCCAAAGAGCCCCTGGATGTGCTGCTCCCTGACCAAACCAGAGAGGAAGTCCAGACCAGAGAGGATGTCCAGACCGCAGAGGAGGTCCAGACCGCAGAGGAGGTCCAGACCATTGAGGATCTTCAGACCACAGAGGATCTTCAGACCGTAGAGGATCTTCAGACCACAGAGGATGTTCATACCATAGAGGAAGATATGACCATAACAGGAGTACAGACCAAAATTGAAGACCAGATCATATTTGATTTTCTGCCCACAGGTGAAGACCAAAGTGAGGAGCCTGAAACTATTCCTGAGCGATTATCTAGGGGGGGAGCCAATTTCCTTGGCCCAAGTCATCTCTGAGACCGACATTGAGCCTGTGGGTGATGCAGGCAGGCCCAGAAGAAGGCTTGACTTGAAACTCTGTGGGTGAGTATGGGCAACGTCATAGAAGAACACTGACATGAAGTGATTCTGTCACAGTTCACTGATATATTCACTGTGTTTGCAGACTCCCAAATGGAACTAACTGGTGATACCAGAACGCCTGTCTGCAGCTCCTGAGGACAGCAGAACCTTTTATGTCCATGCTTAGCACTCAGGAGACTGTATGGAAATACTGTGATGAAGCAGTGCTGCTGAGGTAACTAATTGTAACTAATGCTTAAATTATATTTAGAGTCAAGTTTGACCTGAAGTGAAATGTGTAGTTAATGTGAAATGACAAGAGCATGTGTCCTTTCCCTAAAGGAACATCCATGGTCTGGCCGAAGCCCCTTACACAGAGGCCTCTGTTGGCATAAAAACGTTGGTGGAAAGCTTCAGGCGGACTGTGGCCATCTCTACTCCAATGTTTGGAGACCTTGAGCAGCAGGTAACTCCATCTTCTCCTTTCCTTCAACCGTAACGTGAAAGTATTATATATGTTTAGTCCAGTCCTACTTGAGTTTGACTGAGTGTGATGTTGTGTTCCACTGGCAGGATGCGCACGAGTTCCTGATGTCGCTAATGGAGCAGATTCAGGGCCTGAGGTCCATCTTGCAGGAGTTTGCCCGGAGCAAGAAGCTGGAGTATGTCTGCCCGGTGTCACAGAACGTGTCTTTCTGCATGGATAACATCAAGACCTGTAAGAGGTCTTGATGTCTTGAACTACTTCCAGCAGTTTGAATCATGGCCATTTACACGACCGATGCTGCAGCATTTTTGACAGACAGCCCATAATGCGTTGCGCCAAACACGCGTGTGTGGGTCTCACACCGGGTCTCACGCACGTGCACAGAGGGGCTCGGCCGCGCTCTGACCAATCAGAGCAGTTCATAAGAGCGGGAGTTAGAGCGAGAGCCAGACGGGCAGAGTTTGTGGCACTAAAGTGTGGATTTAAAGAAAACCGAAGGATTTAAGAAGGAAAAAAGTTCAGGATGACAAGGGACACTAAAATCCCCACAAAATCTGACCTTTATTAAAGCTGTAGGTTCTCTGTCAGCTGAGGTCGAGCTGTTTTAATTTACATTGAGTTCTATGGGGAAGATTTTTGGATAGCCCATGTGAATTTAGTCTGGTCTAGTCTGCAGTACCGCGAGAATCCCCCGAGCACATGAGTTGTTTAGCTCCAAGCTAGTAATACCCTATCCAGTTAATATAATAGATCCATATCCAGCAGCGCTAAAGTGCTCCGAGGGACAGGAATTAAATATCCCCATAAAGAACAATGTAAAAACTCACTGATTTAACGAGTTAAAATGTTCTTTTTCTGTGGTGTGTATAGTTGTGGAAACTGCTCATATCAAGTGGGGAACTCACGGAGTCTCTATTTTGCTAAAATGTATTTCTTTAATGGGTGTCAATTTTTAGGAAAATGCCTAACTGGGAACGGGAGAAATGCGCTAGCATTAGCATTAGCCTGCGTAGCATCCACGGCTGCAGACACAGCTGACAGTCTGTGTCTACTTCGCTCACTTTCATAGATATAAATCAGTATTTTTGTGTGGTATACGATTGTAGTAGCCGGGGCACCAGAGAACTGGTAAATATAAGGTCAAAGGTCATCTCAAACAAACATGTCGATGTGTAACAAAGCTAAAGGCAAGCTGTACAATCTAAGTTTTCTCACATATAACCTATTCATTGTGTTATTGTTCATCGTATTTTCTACAAGTGTGACTCTGAGGTCCAGGGTAATGTCTAAAGTTGTCTCCAAACTCTGTGTCCCCGCGTTCGTTGCAGCCCCCGCTGTTAGCTTAACGCTACGGAGCTTCCCCCAGGAGCATAAGTCCAAACTTTTTGTTATTTACAGCTCAACAAATCACCAAAATGACTAATCACCATATTTCTCGCCTCAAATGTTGTTAAAAGTGACATTTTTGCCATATTTATTGTATTATTTGTGACAGGGCAACAGGAAACAGGAAATGGTGGGAGGGGCAAAGATTTCAAAATGGGGGGAGAGGGAAATCAGGGCCTTTCACTCAACCCACAACATGCAGTGAGCATGAGGGCAGCTGAGCCAGGGGGAACAGCGCAGTCTTAAAAGGTGAATATCACACATGAACTGTTTATAGAACTATATAGTGTGTAGATAATCGCACAACTCTCTCTGTAGGTGAAGTAAGCCAAGTGGAGAGTCCACAGCTTCATGTGGTGTTAGCCATGTTTGGGAGGGGTGTCTGGAGAATCAAAGGTGAATAAACTGTCATTGATAAATAGGTTATTCTGTGTATTAACTTGAATCAAATACAATCTTTGACCATAGGTTAAGTTACCTGCAGGCCTCTTTATCCCGCGTGTCTGGAGAATCAAAGTGAATCCAAACACGGCACTTCAAGCCGGCCACTGTTTTATCTCATAACTGTCTATTCATATATTGGGCTAAAATGATTTGTATTTGATCTCACCCCTCTTGCATGGTTTTTCTGTGAGACTAATATTGCACTGCATGGTTTTAAACTGTTTTGAAACTCGAATTGATGATTTTTAACCATTTGAATACATTACTTTTAATACTCTCATAAAATAAATATTGATGTTGTACTGACCATTTGAGTCTCCTTAGTTTAATTGATGTATTACAATGACCTGGTCACATATTGAACAGAACTATCATCTCAGGCGTGGTTCTGTTGATAACAGCCTATGAATGAATTACTCATTCATACTCTACAAGGCGTACGCTGCATTGACAAAAGTTTTCACTAATAATAAGAGTGATGCCAAGCTGCGAAAAGCTCCTATGTGTACGTTTTCCTGCATCGCCCGGTCTATTTAATGGGAAAAAAATACTTCTTTGTCCTACGGCCTCATGCCACGACCCCTTTTAGTCACGTGGATACGGGAAAACGCACACACAGGAGTTTTTCGCACGTAGTATCTCTCTTATTAATGAGTAAAAACGTTTTGTAGAGTTTGAATGATTCAAATGTTTTCCACAATGAGGCAGTTTAAGCAGTTGTTATAGTGACGACAGTGGAGCTTGTCTCTCTGCTATCAACAGAACCACGTCTGAGATGATAGTTCTCATCAATAATACAATAAAAAGGGCATAAATGTTACATTTAACAACATTTGAGGTGAGAAATATGACCCTTTATTGTCATTTTGGTGATCTTTTGAGCTGTAAATAACAAAAAGTTCAAACTTGTGCCCCTCGGGGAGAGCCGTAGCATTAAGCTAACAGCGGGGGGCTGCAACGAACGCCACCGTCCCGGGGGCACAGAGCTTGGATACAACGTTAGACATTACCCTGGACCTCACAGTCCCGGTCGTGGAAATAACAATGAACAATGACTCTCATAACAAAATAACAAGATAATATGTGATAAGACTTAAGATTGTACAGCTTGCCTTTTGCTTTGTTGCTCACGTACAAGATATACTTCCTGTCCCTTGGAGCACTTTCGCACCGCCGCGTGACGTCAGGTGCAACCCAGCAGTTAAACACCTGTGTTTGTTCAGAATCTGAAAAATAATCCACTAAACTCACTTTCAGGAAACAGAGTTAGAGTTCCAATGTACGTGTGCCGGCAGACTCTCTGGCATGACTGCAGCCTTTGCTACTCTTCCAAAGTAAGTATCGACATCGTGAACTATGACATCCTTAAGCAGCATCCCTTTAATTTGCATTATTTCTTCATTCAGTGTCTTAATCCTCCACCTAAAGAGGTTCGCATATGACCTCAATTACAATATGCATAAACTGAAATATAACATCAGACTGGATGGTCTATGGTCTGAGGGAGAAGGAGGCCTACATCCTCACATACCTGCGGGAGAGTGTGTAAGAGCTGAGTAATACCACAGTAATGCCCCCCACTGCATGCACTCAGGCCGCTTCAGACTTCTGGAGCAGCATTAGATTCTAGTTACAGACGTATTATATTCATACCGGACTAGTCAACACGGCTTCATTCACTCTCAGCGTGCCGTTGTGCGTTGGACGTTTCTCTGAAGGAAGAATATTTGGTTTTAGGATTACTAAAAATCCTTGAACCAACAATGTCCCAAAAATATTTTTCCTTCACCTGTCTCGCTCCACTCACACGCCTCGCTCCTGTCTTGCTCCTCTGCTCACACACTACTCTTTCTCTGCTCACACACCGCGAGGCAGAGAGCAAAGGACCAAGACTCCTCTGCTCACTGCCCTGCTCCTCCACCACCGCTAAAACAATCTTGCTCCTCCTCTGCTCACACACCTCTGTCTTACTCCATGTGCAAGGCAGTGAGCAGAGGAGCAAGACTCCTCTGCTCACTGCCTCACCCTCCACCTCTAAAATAAATCTTTCTTGCTCCTCCTCCGCAAAAAAAGCTCTGTCTCACTCTTCCTCCGCTCACACACACCTGTCTCGCACCTCCTCCTCTGCTCACACACCTCTGTCTAACTCCTTGAGCAAGGCAGTGAGCAGAGGAGTAAGACTCCCCTGCTCACTGCCTTGCTCCTCCTCCACCACGAAAACAACTCTGTCTCGCTCTTCCTCCGCTCACACACACCTGTCTTACTCCTTCTCTGCTCACACACCTGTCACGCTCCTCCTTCTCTGCTCACACACCTCTGTCTTACTCCTTCTCTGCTCACACATCCCGAGGCAGTGAGCAGAGGTGCAAGACTCCTCTGCTCACTGCCTTGCTCCTCTTCCAACACTAAGATACCTCTGTCTCGCTCCTTCTCTGCTCACACACACCTGTCTTGCTCCTCCTCCTCCACTCACACACCTCCATCTCGCTCCTCCTCTGCTCACACACCTCTTAACTCACTCCTCCTCTGCTCACACAACCCTGTCTCGCAACTCCTCGCTCACACACCTCTATCTTGCGCCTCCTCCTTGCTCATTCACCTCTATCTTGCTCCTCCTCTGTCTCACTCCTCCTCCTCCCACACACCTCTGTCTCACTTCTCCTCCTCCGCTCACACAAACCTTTCTCGCGTCTCCTCCTCTGCTCACACACATCTTTCTCAGTCTTCCTCCGCTCACACACTTTTTGCTCCTCCTCTGCTCCCACACCTCTCTCTCTCCTCCTCCTCGCTCTCACACCGCTGTCTCTCTCCTCCTCCTCCTCCTCCGCTCACACACCTCTGTCTCACTCCTTCTCTGCTCACACACCTCTGTCTCACTCTTTCTCCGCTCACTCACCTCTGTCTCGCCCCTCCTGGCCTACATTCAAGGCCAGGCTTAAAATCGTCTTCTTTATTCTAGCATATGAATAGGTACGGTCAGACTCAGGGAAGACTAACATTCAAATGGGGTCAGTTTGCTGGGAGAAGTATGGTAACTTGTGCACTATTACTACTTTATCCGTCTGCATTATAGGGATTTTGACTGTAGACTGTTCATTGCTATTCACTCCTTGTCTCATTGTCTGTTTCATGGCTCGACGATGGGATCCCTCACTGCACCTGCGGACTCGGCCCCGACTCGTGGGCTGCATCCTCTTCGTGCCTGGGAGCTGCTTGCGTTCTCGTTCTAACTGTTTCTCCCCAGGACACAGTGACTTTTTTCAGACTTGGCTATTTTAAGAGGATGTTAAAAAATGCATGATTATGTTTGAACAATTGACTAGATACTAACTAATGTGCTAGTTTCCCTGTGACGGTGCTGCAGCGGTCAACATCCCTGCTTTAGGAGCAGGTGACCCGGGTTCGACTCCCGGCCGTCACATACTTGCACTGATCAATCAATCAATCAATCAACGTTTATTTGTAGAGCGCCTTTCCTACACAAGGCAACGCAAAGCGCTTCACATCCCCTATCACATCATGCATAAATCAAACACATTAAGAGCACAAGATATATTAAAAACATTAAAAATAAAATCACAAAAATTAAAAACCTTTAAACATTAAAATCACAGATGGGACTAAAATCATAAATAGTCACAGTGCATTAAAAAGATTAAAGATAAAAACAAAGATGAAAAGATAAAATCATTCAGTTGTATATGCGCAGCTAAACAGAATTGTTTTGAGCCTAGATTTAAAAGATGCCAGAGTAGACGCCTGTCTCACATTCTCAGGAAGACGGTTCCAGACTCTAGCCGCATGAATCTGAAATGCAGTTTGCCCATGTCTAGTACCGACTCTGGGCACTAACAGGAGTCCAGTCCCTGTGCTCCTCAGAGTCCGGGTCGGTTCATATGGCACAAACATGTCACGGATGTAACTTGGCGCGAGACCATGGAGAGACTTGTACACAAGTAAAGCTGCTTTGAAGTCTATTCTCTGAGGAACAGGAAGCCAGTGCAGAGACCTGAGAACTGGACTAATGTGGTCGCACTTCCTAGTTCTGGTCAGGACTCGAGCTGCTGCATGTTGAATGTACTGCAGCTGTTTTACAGCCTGTTTGGACAGACCTGTGAGCAGGCCATTGCAATAGTCTAACCGACTGGAGACAAAAGCGTGTATAAGAGTCTCCAAGTCTGCCTTAGACACTATGTTTTTAATTTTAGCAATGTTTTTTAGGTGGTAATAAGCTGCTGATGTTACAGATTTTATGTGGCTTTTGAAATTTAAGTCTGAGTCCATTATCACTCCTAGATTTCTGACCTGATTTGAGGGTTGTAGAGAGAGAGCCTGGAGGTGACAAATAACGCTCTCTCTTTGTTTCTGGGGTCCGAAAACAATCATTTCAGTTTTGTCGGTGTTTAGTTGGAGAAAGTTATTTTGCATCCAATCACCGATTTGCTGGACACAGTGAAGGAGCGAGTCCACTGGTTCATGCTCTCCTGCTGTCAGGGACACATAGACCTGAGTATCGTCAGCGTAATTGTGATAAGAGACATTATTACTGTGAATCAACTGACCTAGAGGCAACATGTAAATATTAAACAGAAGAGGACCCAGGATTGACCCCTGTGGCACTCCGCAGGTCAGGGCTAAGTGGTCTGAGGTACAGTTTTCGATCTCCACAAAAAACTTTCTGTCTTGTAAATAGGACCTAAACCAGCTTAGGGCGGTGCCAGCAACACCAACCCAGTCCTCAAGTCTCTGAATGAGGATGCCATGATCAATAGTGTCAAAAGCAGCACTTAAATCTAACAGAAAAAGGACTGAGACTTTTCCTGCGTCAGTGTTTAGTTTGATGTCATTTGTTACCTTTATTAGCGCGGTCTCAGTGCTGTGGTGGGGTCTAAACCCTGACTGGAACATATCATAAGCGTTATTGATTATTAAAAATTCTGTAAGTTGTTTATAGGCAACTTTTTCTAGAATTTTTCCCATGAAAGGCAGATTTGAAATGGGCCGATAATTTTTGAGTGCCAGGGCTTCC